CCCCCCCCCGTAAAGAATGAATACGATTCCTCTGGTTGCTAATTTTCTCTGATTACAGCTCTTTGATTTTTTATAAATAAGAGTTTTGAACGTTCACGAATCACATTGAAAATGTAAACCAAGGAATATCTGTTGTAGGAAGATGTGGATTATCAATTCCAAATATTTCTGGTATAATCTCAGGTGATAATAAAAAGATTTGATCCATCAAATCAATGATAGTTTCTCTCTTATGGCATAGTGTGGATGATTAGATTAAAAATTTAGATATCTTCCAGAAAAAGTAGGTTTATGATACCAGTCGATTTCTTCACAATTATTATTCACAATTATCGTGGCATCAAGGAAATTAAGTTTGTTGCCCACTCCTTCTTTTATACTAAACTGAAGTTTTGGATAAAACGAGTTGAAGATAGTTAAGGCCGAAACTTTAATTTGTTATATCTCCTAAACCAATTCCGACCGCCATTTGATTCTTGCGGGGAATTACTCAGAACACTCCCTCCTACAACATATCTAAGTGGCGATTAAATCGGTGAGGTGTGACCTTTTATGCATATTTACCAAAATTATTACCAAGTTGTAATAAATTTTGGACATTTTGGGGGATATCAGTGGAAATAAGATTAATAAACCATTTATCAACTGTATTGAGAGCCGAAAGGATAGGTTCTCTAGTGAATGAGGAAAGGTTGAGGTTAATTTTAACCGGAGTCATATTTGGTTTGGTATCAATTGGTTTAAGTGAAAATTGGGTTTTTGTCCATTGAAGGTTGAATACTGTTTGTATATTTTTGTTTTATCTATGCTGAAAATGGGTCAAAAAACGGTCTGAAACATACATATTTAATGCATATCTGTCAATGAAATTAAACAATGCGTACTAACCGCGCTTCGGCTCTTATTTTCCAGCTTCCTCACTTATCCAGTCAGAAATGTATAGTTGATGTGACATCGAACTAATGTCGAAAACCAAATGTTAAAATAAAGTTGAAATTTTGATGAATAACGTAATAGATAAATAATAAAATTTAAATAACTCAAGATTTTAGTTATATGGAAATTAAATTCCTATTTTACATCTGAAGTAAATGTAAAAGACGGGCGATTTCCACTCATTTGAATACTCATTTGTCCCTATTTTTGAACAATTAGTTTAAGATCTAAATAATCCTTCGTGTTGGTATTGTATCAGAAGTTAAACTGATAGGAAAATGTACTACATTTTCAATGTTATTAGCTATGCTTTGTAGGCTTTATATATTTTGATGAAAAAAACTTGAATACGAGATAGATAGCGCACAGTGTCTCACATCGCGCTAAGCAACCGAACTAATCCAATATTACAATATGCAGTAATTTATAATGTTGCACAAAAACATATGTAATATATCACAAGTTTTATATTACATATGTAACTTATGTTATATTATTTGTTACTTTCATGTTATATGACTGCAATAAACAATTACTTGTAAGATAATAATAAAATTGTAATATTAATAAAAATGGGATTAATTAGTAAATATAGAAACAAATAATTAACTAAATTAATTAGAACCTAGTTTAATTTTAATATATTCCAAACATTATACAGGGTGTTCGAAAGCACCTTTGACAACGCTCGTGAGCAGGTAGAGCACAGTAAACTGAACAGTAAAGTTCTGTAACATTTTTTTCTATAACGCTTAATAAAAAAGTTATTATTGAGTAAAGTCTGGCCAGCGCTGACCTTTAGCCGCGCACCTGATAGTGTGCGTGAGCGCTCCGTCGCTACGGCGGCGCATACTACCGGGCGGGCGGTTCATCGACGTGCGTCCGGCTAAAAGTCGGCGCTGATTGGCCAGACTTTATTCAATAATAACTCCTTTATTAAGCGTTATAGAAAAAAATG